CAGAGCCTGATTGGCACACCAGCCATATTTGCGACAAAATTAAGTCACATGGTCTGCAAAAGAATGTTTTAATTATTTGTGAATTTATTTCTATGAAAGGTTTACAAAGGAACAAATATTAAACCAAATGTAGTTACGCATTTAACAAGACACTCTAAGAACAAATTGTATATTCAGGATATCATAAGCTCTTTAAAGACCACTGTGTTTTATTTGTTTTTAAATTCCCATCTTTAAAATACCCTTAAAATAGTCTGTGCTCAATAAATGCTGACTGACTAATTAGTTATTCCATCAAACATGATTTCTGTAGTCTATTGCAGGGATAAAAGGGAAATAGAAGATGTAGTCTTTGCCACCAGTTGGAGACAATAAGGCAAACAGATTAAAGAGACATACGGCAAAAGGACATTGCACAAGTGAGAACCAATTTGCATGTATATGGAACTTGCCTGGTTTGGCAATATTGATCATTCATTCATTTAGTCTTTCATTTTTATCATTCAATAAATATTTTGTAAGCACATTCTATGAGATAACAAAGAAGAAGACCGTGTTAGCTCTGAATTATGCTCAGTTCTTGAGTGTTCTTTGACTAAATAGGCAATAAATGGGGAATTCCAGTCTAGGGGTGACGGTGGGTCCATCTCAACCACCAAAGGGCACCTGCTTTCAGTAACATCATTTCAAATATGAAGAGTAAAGAAGGAAGGGCAACATGGAATTTAGGAAAAAAGAACTCCTCCCAAACTCAGGAACCTTAACAGTCCATAAGCAGGAAGTTCGACGAATGCTTTCGATCCAGAGATTTAGAATTGTGATTTTAAAAAAATAATGAAAATAGCACAAATGACCTTCTACTGTGGATAAAGGCAATCCTACTGTCATCCATTTCACCACCAGCTCTGTCCAGAGGAATGAAATTCATCTTCAGCTACCTCTTTACGTCTGTGGATTCCTGAAGCTGCCTGTGGCCAACCAGCTCCCAAGGGCCCAGTTTCTCCTGTGTCTCAGGTGGGGTTCTCAAGAAGCAGGAGAATTCTTGAGCAAGTGGTTCACCGGGGGAGTGTTCTCAGGAGGAGGGGAGTGAGGGGGCAAGAGAGCAGAGGGTGGGGAAGGGCAAGCGAGGATGTGGTCTCAGCCAGACACCAGCTTCAGGCCGAGCCCTCTGGGAAGTTTGGGATCCCCAAAGTGCACCACATAGGCAGTGCCCCCTTGGTGCCAGGGGGCTGAGCTTTTGCATGTTTGGGCCAGACTGCCCTTTGGGAACCATGACTCCCAGGAGAAGGAGGGGCTGTGAGCTGTCGTCAGCCAGTCCTCACAGCAGCTGGGAGTAAAAAGAAGCTGGATGGGGCACCCCTAGCACCTACCTTCCCCTGTGTGGCCCTTTGTCTTTTTTTTTTTTTTTTTTGAAACAGAGGCACTCCATCACCTAGGCTGGAGGGCAGTGGTGCAATCTTGGCTCACTGCAACCTCCACCTCCCAGGTACAAGCAATTCTCCCACCTGAGCCTCCTGAGTAGCTGGGACTACAGGCATGCACCACCGCACCTGGCTAATTTTTGTATTTTTAATAGAGACGGGGTTTCACCACATTGGCCAGGCTGGTTTCAAACTCCTGGACTCAAGTGATCTGCTCACCTTGGCCTTCCAAAATGTTGGGATTACAGGCATGAACCACCGTGCCTGGCCCCCTTCGTCTTTTACATAGCAAGCTACTGCAATTGTTACATAGTATTACAATTATGTGCCCCCCCCACCCCCAGACTGTGAGCTCCCTGAAGTTAGGAAATGCTATGCCTTATTCATTTTTGTATCCTGAGTGTTTAGTATAATGACTGGTATTTCCTAGGTGCTTAATAAATGAATGCTGAATGAATGAATATTGATTAAGCCCTCCCACTCCCTTGAGACGGTATGCCATTTGAAGAAACTGGGTTACTGTAAACTAATATATGGTTCCCTAAGGTGGTAGGAGGCACTTCCAACACTAAAAGAATAGTACAAGAAAGCATATATTTCATTTCAAAGTTGCAGAAGGTGACACAGTCCACAACTTGGGGATGGGGGATGAGAGAGATCGGAAATGGCCGAGGATATTTCAGATCGGGAAGAGACATCCCAGAAGTATGTGTTACAGAGAACTGGCAGCTACTTCACCCTTCCACCAGACCGGAGGAAAAGTGAAATAGTCATTTATGCATCAACCTTAAATAATATGATTTAGAACATATGATTAGGTATAGAGTTTATTGGAGCTCAAAGCCAGGAATAGCCATTCAGGAAACATGGACTCCAGAGAGATGAAGCCAGTGGTCTAAAATAAAAACGTCTTGCTTATATAGGCAGAAAACAAAGAAATTTAGTAGGATTAGAACATTTCATCTTAGACAAAGAGATAGTTGTGAAGTCTTTGTATCAGAAATGAAAGAAGGAAGTGAATCTATAGTGATGATCAGTAGTGAAGGGGGAAGGGGTCTTCCCTGGCACCCCTCAGTCATTGACAACATTTTACAAAATAATGTGGGTGAGGAAGAAGGCTAATCTATAATCAGAGAGACAAAGGTGACAGCCATCTGTTTTTGTAACTTGAGTCCCATAATCACACTCCTTCAAGGCTCATATATTTTAAAGTTCCAACAGCTTTGATTTTGAAATATTTATTTTCACACATTCAACAAATACATGTTGAACATGTACAACAAGGCATAGGCCTAGGTGCTGGGGGATACAGCGGCAAACTCGGAAGGCCACATCTCTGCTCTCATTGAGCTTACAGGTGGTGGGGAGAAAACACACGAAAGTAAGCAAAGAAATATATCATTACACATGGTAATAAGAGCTGTGAAGGGACGAAACAGATGGTGGGAGGGAACACAGCAGGAGGACAGGGAATGTCTCCCTAAGGATGTGGTTTTAAGCTGAAGTTGGCAAGGACAGGAAGGACAGGGAGGCGGAGCAGCCTGAGGGACTGCCCATTCAAGAAACCCAGAGGCCAGTGCAGCCTCAGATGTGGGCTGCCAGGCACAGCAGTTCACAACTGTAATCCCAGCACTCTGAAGCTGAGGCAGGAGGATTGCTTGAGGTCAGGAGTTTGAGACCAGATTGGCCAACATAATGAGACCCTATCTCTACAAAAAGTAAAAAATAAAAATTAGCAACTGGGCGCAGTGGCTCACACCTGTAATCCTAGCACTTTGGGAGGCCGAGACAGGCAGATCACCTGAGGTCTGGAGTTCAAGACCAGCCTGACCAACATGGAGAAACCCCATCTCTACTAAAAATACAAATTAGCTGGGTGTGGTGGTGCATGCCTGTAATCCCAGCTACTTAGGAGGCTGAGGCAGGAGAATCACTTGAACCTGAGAGGCGGAGGTTACAATGAGCCGAGATTGCGCCACTGCACTCCAGGCTGGGCAACAAGGATGAAACTCTGTCTCAAAAAAAAAAAAAAATTAGCTGGTTTACTTGAGAGGCTGAGGCAGGAGGATTGCTTGACCTTGGAGTTTGAGGCTATAGTGAGCTCTAATTGCACTACTGCACTCCAGCCTGGGTGACAGAGCAAGATCCTGTCCCTAAAAAGATAAAAATTTTTAAATTAAAAATAAAAATAAAAAATTTAAAAAGTAAATAACAATAATAATTTTTCAAAAGGTGGGGAAAGGACAGCAAGACCTGACAGTGTCTGCAGCGGGGCAGGCAAAGGCAGAGCAGGTAGACCCAAGTCAGCCAGGATTAGTTTAGATTTTGTTCTAAGTACTATAGCTTAGAGAAAGAGTTTTAAGACAGAGATGATGTGGTGTGATGTATTTATTAATCAGGGCAGTTTTTGCACTGCTATAAGGAAATATCTGAGACTGGGTAATTTACGAAGAAAAAAGGTTTAATTGGCTCACAGTTCTATAGGGTGTATAGGAAGCATGGGGGCATCAGCTTCTGGGGAGGCCTCAGGGAACTTAACAATTATGGCAGAAGGCAGAGAGGAGCAGTGAACCTCACGTGGCTGGAGCAGAAGGAGAAGAGAGAGGGGAGGTGCCATACTGTTAAACAACCGGATCTCATGAGAACTTACTCCCTACACAGTACCAAGGGGAGACTGTGCTAAACCATTCATAAGAACTCTGCCTCCACGATCCGGTCGCCTCCCATCAGGCCCTGCCTCCACCACTGAGGTTACAATTTGACATGAGATTTGGATGGGGACACAGATACAAACCATGTCATGTGATTTACATTCACGCGGGAATACCCAGGCTGCTGGAGGAGACAAGATCGAAAAGGAGTTTGGGAAGAAAAGAGAGCCGCTGGGGTGGCTAGGACTAGGACCAAGGTATTTAACGTTTCTCTTTGGGAAAGATTATTCTTTACCCCATTTTATAGCTGAAGAAACTGAGCTTCTGAGTTGGGTTGGAGCCACAATGCCAGTCTGTCCCTGAATTCCTCTTTTCTTTTCTTCCTTTTTTTTTTTTTTTTTTTCTTTTCCTTTCTCTCTCTTTCATTATTACTGTTGATTAAAATAGAAGCATTTTGTTCATAAAATTTTTTGTAGTTTTGCAATTTGTTCTTTAGCTTGTTTTGCTTTATGTTTTATGGTGTGTGTGTGTGTGTGAGAGAGAGAGAGAGTTTGAGACAGGATCTCACTCTGTTGCTCAGGCTGGAGAGCAGAGGTGCAATCATGTTAATGCAGCCTCAACCTCCTGGGCTCAAGTGATCCTCCCACCAAGCCTCCCAAGTTAGCTGGGCCCGCAGGTATGCATCAACATGTCGCTAATTTTGTGTGTGTTGGGGGGATTTTTTTTTTGGTAGAAACAGGGTTTCATCATGTTGTCCAGGGTGGTTTCAAACTCCTGGCTTCAAGTGATCCACCCACCTCAGCCTCCCGAAGTGCTGGGATTACAGGCGTGAGCCACCAAACTTGGCCTCTTCTGTAATTCTTGTGTTCAGTTACACAAAACTTCCATATTGGCAAAGATAAAAAGGAATGATAATATCCATTTTTGGCAAGGAAGTGGGGGAAAGGGGACTTCTCAGCCACTGCAGGTGGGAATGTGAATTCATTCTGTCTTTCCAGGGAAAACCCAAGGAAAGATGCACATCCTCCTAGAGCCACCGCTCCCAGTTTTAGGATCCTAAAAATAAATAAATAAATAAATAAATTGTCTACTGAGCAGAGATGTTTGAAAAAGCCTTGTTTGTCAGTATTTGCAAGAGTGAAATAGGATCCAGTGAGAAGATCGGGTTACCCAAAGATGTACAGTATGATCCCATTTTGTAAAATGTACATATAGAAAAATGTTCTACATATAGAAAAAATTCTGGAAGAATCTATGCCATATATTAAGAGCGGTTCTTTCCAGATATGGGCATATCTGGAGATTTTGTTGTTGCTATTTTTTTTTAATCTGTGGGTCTAATGTTTTTAAATTTAAAAAATTAGCATTTTTAAAATTGATAAATAATAATTGTACGTATTCATGAGGTATATAGTGATTTTGTTTTGTTTTGGTTTTTTTGATATGGAGTCTCCCTCTGTCACCCAGGCTGGAGTGCAGTGGCGCAATCTTGGCTCACTGCAACCTCTGCCTCCCGGGTTCAAGCAGTTCTCCTGCCTCAGTCTCCCACGTAGCTGGGACTACAGGCGCATACCACCACACCCAGCTAATTTTCATATTTGTAGTAGACATGGGGTTTCACCATATTGGTCAAATTGGTCTTGAACTCCTGACCTTGTGATCCCCCTGCCTCAGCCTCCCAAAGTGCTGGGATTACAGGCATGAGCCACTGCAACCGGCCTAGAGGGATGTTTATATGTATAATATATAATGATCAGATCATAGTAGCAACATAGCCATCATCTCAAACACAACAATGTTAACTTTTTATTGAAGTATGACATACATACTTACAAAACAGCACACATCTTATGTTCACAATCTGATGAATGATCACCAACTGAACACACTCATGACCGACACATTGATCAAGAAATAGAACATTACCAGACTCCTAGAAGCGCTCTTTGTAAAATCAGATAGAAACTACTTTGCTGTGTCTTACTTCTTTCACTCCAGATTATGTTTATGTACATTGAGTGCACATGGACACAAAGAAGGGAGCAACAAACACGGGCCTACTTGAGGGTGGAAGATGTGAGCAGTATGAGAATCAAAAAACTACCTATCCAGTATGATGTTTATTACCTGAGTGTTGAAATAATCTGTACACCAAACCTCCCCGACTCGCAATTTACGTGTACAGCAAATCGGCACATGCACCCCTGAACCTAAAGTTAAAATACAGGCCAGGCAATGTGGCTCACACCTGTAATCTCAGCACTTTGGGAGGCCAGGGCAGGCGGATCACCTGAGGTCAGGAGTTCAGACCAGCCTGACCAACATGGAGAAACCCTGTCTCCACTAAAAATACAAAATTAGCCGGGCATGGAGGCACATGCCTGTAATCCCAGCTACTCAGGCGGCTGAGGCAGGAGCATCTCTTGAACCCAGGAAGCAGAGGTTGCGGTCAGCCGAGATCTCGCCATTGCACTCCAGCCCGAGCAATAAGAGCAAAACTCCGTCTCAAAACAAACAAACAAACAAAGAGATTATGTTTCTGTGATTGATACTTCCATGTAGCTGCAATTAATTGTAGTAAGCTAATCAATTGATTAAAATCTTAGAATGGTCACATCTTGTTGTTTATAAATATGACACTGCAGAATCCGTGATAATCATAAGCATTTTGTCACCTTATGAAGCACTTTTCATGTAGACTAGCTCTAAGCATTATTATTATCCTCATTTAATAGAAAAGGGCCTGGGATTGAAAGGGTAATTTGCCTTGCACAAAGCTAGTAGGTGGCCAAGCCAGGACTGGTTCTTACCTAAATCCATGCCCTTTCTGCCCCACCCCATTAGATTCAGAGCAAAGGTAGCCGTGGCTTAAATGAAAGGAATGTTTTGCTCACCATTAGGCTCTTCAGACATGGAGACAAGTTACCAGGGAAGGTTATCTAAACTTCTTTCCTGAAAATCATTGCGAAAAATTGGCAAGGCAGATGTCCCATAAATATTCATCCAGTTTCAATATTAATTATCTCCAGAGAGAATTTCTTCTGCTAATACTATATCCACATTTCTCATTTAATACTATTAATCATAATGCCTTCATGATCACATTGCCTGTGTAGTAGATGTTTACAAATCGTATGGGTTTCATATTTGCATATGCCCCCTTTCCTCTCCAGCTTAATGAATATCAATGATTGCAGCCTCTTAGCAATCATATAAAGGAGTGTCACTTCTCATTCACAGTTGAAGAAATTGAGACCCACTATCAAATAGATGGGTACAGCAGAACTGGGGCAAAATTCAGGTATTCAGGCCACAACTCTTTGGAGCACACATTACTACATAAAATGAGAAACTTGTTTCTGCTTGGAAACATAAACAATGATAATCCTAAATGTTATTAAAACTGTGAAAGGTTTTTTTAAAGACAGAATGCATGACTTAGCTTTATGTTATTATAAAATCATGATAGCATACCCTAAGATAATGATCCTTCTTTGAAACATGATTCAGTTGTTTCTATGAAGATACTAATTTCACAATCCAGTACACTTTACAGGAATTTCAGAAGAAATTAGGCATATTAGCAGAGAAAACATGAACTTTTCACCTCAAATATTGACTGAAGCACCAATTCAAGTAACTTTACCTTACGGAGCTGTGGGACTTCAAAAGCAGAAGTGAGGTGACAAAAGAGCTTAGTCTAAACTCATCCTCTCCTTCCGCATCCCTACTTCCGCTTCTGTGGATATTCCTTATTTTTTTGGTAATTTTACAAAAGAAACACGAAGTAGTTCACATCCAGAGTCTTCCTACCTCTGAATATAGCATTCACTGCGCTGAGACCATTTCCCCAGGAAGTTAGGCTCTGCTTTCACCTGGTCACCTTTCAGGAATCTCAAAAATGGAGGGTCTGTTTTCCCAGCAAAAGAACAGTGCAGGTCACAGGACAACAGATAAGCCTATTTATTTTCCCAGAGACTTTGGCCAGGCCCTACCATCTTCTCTTACCTTGTCCTCAGTTGTGGGTCAGCCTCAGGTCATGGGGCAGGTCGGGCTTGCACAGCCTTGATCAGGTCCCAGGGTTTCCCTCCCCACGCTCCCTGACGGGCTTACTAGGCGTCTTCTTTGAGAGCCTCTGTGAACCTCTATCCTCCCAGTTACCTTTATGAATAGACAATGGGGTGGCCAGGCACCCTGGCTCACACCTGGAATCCCAGCACTTTGGAAGGCTGAGATGGGCGGATCATGAGGTCAGGAGTTCGAGACCAGCCTGGCCAGCATGGTGAAACCCCGTCTCTACTAAAAATACAAAAATTAGCCGGGCGTGGTGGTGCCTGCCTATAATCCCAGCTACTGGGGAAGCTGAGGCAGGAGAATCACTTGAACCCAGGAGGTGGAGGCTGCAATGAGCCGAGATCTTGCCACTGCACTCCAGCCTGGGTGACAGAGCAAGACTCCATCTCAAAAAACAAACAGACAAAAATGGTTATGTTATTTTTTAAAAAAAAGATGGGGTGGGTCCCCTCCAGTGGCTCACACCTGTAATCCCAGCGCTTTGGGAGGCTGAGGTAGGCAGAATTCTTGAACCCAGGAGTTTGATGCCAGCCTGGGTAACTTGGTGAAACCGCATCTTTACAAAAAAAAAAAAATACAAAAGTTAGCCGGGCATGGTAGCCCATGCCTGCAGTTCCAGCTACTTGGGAGACTGAGGTGGGAGAATCACCTGAGCCTGGGGAGGTCAAAGCTACATCGAGCCGTGATGGCACAACACTGCACTCCAGCCTGGGCAACAGAGTGAGAACTTGTCTCAAAAAAATAACGAAAATGTTGGGCATTGTGGCTCAGGCCTGTAATCCCAGCACCTTAGGAGGCCAAGGCAGGTGGGTCACGTGGTATCCGGAATTTGAGAACAGCCTGGCCAGCATGGTGAAACCCCATCTCTACTAAAGATTCAAAAATTAGCTGGGCATAGTGGTACGCAGCTGTAATCCCAGCTACTCAGGAGGCTGAGGCAGGAGAATCACTTGAACCCGGGAAGCGGAGGTTGCAGTGAGCCAAGATCACGCTACTGCACTCCAGCCTGGGTGACAGAGTGAGACCCCATCTCAATAAAAGAATGAATGAATGAATGAATAAAAGGTGAAGTGTGGGAGGGGTTGCTCGGTACTCAGCATCTAGGATGAAACCTGACTGCAGCCATTGGTCCCAGTTGAGTTCAGTGAAATGTTCAGTTCAGCCCAGGGAAGAAAAGTTCTTCCAGGCTCCGGTACCATGCACTCTCTTAAGGACAGAGAGCGTTTTCTTTGCCTCTAGACCCACTCACCCTCTGCCCCTCTGCTCAGTGCTTGTAGCTCTCTATACTGTTATTTCATCTTCTCATCCCTATTAAATCTTTGTGCCGAAAAATGCAGCTCCCTTAATCTCAACAAATGCAGTGCCCCATCTGGCCCTCAGCCCCCCATTAGAGCATCTGGATGAGCTACCTACTCACTCTCCATGTTTTCCTTTTTTCCTTTCTTCTTTCATACTGAACACGCTTTCCTCCTGTATGTGCCTTGCTGTGCAAAGTGGAGTTCATTGTTGGGGACAGACAGAGAAACAAATAGTTACAATACAATGTACCAAGTTTTTTTTTTCTTTTTCTTTTTTTTTGAGACAGTTTTGCTCTTGTTGCCCAGGCTGAAGTGCAATTGTGGGATCTTGGCTCACTGCAACCTCTGCCTTCCAGGTTCAAGCGATTCTCCTGCCTCAGCCTCTGGAATAGCTGGGATTACAGGCATGCACTGCATGCCTGGCTAATTTTGTGTGTTTACTAGATATGAGACGGGGTTTCTCCATGTTGGTCAGGCTGGTCTCGAACTCTTGACCTCAGGTGATCTGCCTGCATTGACCTCCCAATGTGCTAGGATTACAGGTGTGAGTCACTGCGCCTGGCTGTAGCAAGTTTTATAATGTGGAATAGCTATGCAATGAAGACTGTGATGTCTTATTAAGATGGGCTCCAGAGACTCTCAAAGGAGCTATTTTTATTTAAAAAATTGTATTGTGAATTACATATGCAATAAATAATAATAGCTAACGTTTTTTGAGCACGATTCTGGTTGCTTTGTATGACAATCCATGTAAACCTAGGAGGTCTTTTTATTTAAAAAATTGTATTGTGAATTACATATATAATTAATAGTAATAATTAACATTTCTTGAGCACTATTCTAGTTGCTTTGTGTGTCTTAATCTGTGTAAACCTCAGAGTAAGCCGAAGAGATACATACTGTTATCATCCCTAGTTTTGAGTTGAGGAAATTTAGGCTCAGAGAGATTAAGCACACAGCTAGATAATGCTTGAGCCGGAATTTGAAGCTGGATTGCTTGTCTTGTCTCCAGAGCCGCCCTCATAAGCACTACAAGTTCTTTCCAATAATGACCAGAAAGCAACATAATCAAGTTTCCGTTCTTGCCAGAAAGTTTCATCATATCTTAATATTTTGCCACCATTTCTTCCGACTTTTGTGACATACACAACAATATGGCTGTGCTAAATGTAATGTGGGGTCCTGGATTGGATCCTGAAATGAAAAAAGGGCATTTGTGGAAAAACTGGTGAAATCTGAATAAAATCTAATGTTTAGTTGTACCAGTGTTCATTTCTGTACCATAGTTTTGTAAGATGTCAACACTGGGGGGAACCGGACAAAGGGGTATCTGGGAACTCTTTGGACTACATTTGCAATTTTTCTGTAAATTCAAAATTATCCCAAAATAAGACTTTTATTAAAAATGACAACATTATGGATGGAGATGAACCTTCATTGACATGTTTCTCTCATGGCCTCTTCCCAGAGATCATCCTCATCCAGAATGTGGTGTTTATCATTCAAAGGGCCTAACACAACTATTGGTATATGAATGTTAGCCATGAGCAATGCAGAGGATTTCTCAAGGCGTTTAGGTTTCAGTGATTGTGGGTCTTCCGAGAGACCTTGCCCCCTTTCAGACAGGGGCACTGCTATGAGTCCCTCTCCCAGTCAACCCATTTTCACCCTCACCAACTACCCAGCCCACACTTGGCCCACAAAGGAGGCCTCACCCTCCCTGCGGCGCCTGTTACTCAACCTTCCCTGAGCTGTGCACCACACACCAACATGAAGGCAGCTGGCTCTGAAGTTCCCTGAGTTTGAGGACAAAAGAAGACCTCTGTGAGTTGTCAGACTCTGTTACAGTCTGGGTCAGCAGACAAGAGTCCCAGGGCTCAGTTGTCTTCTCCAGGAGAAAAAATATTTATGCCATATGGTGTGTTCTAAGAGTTCCCACGGGAAGCTCAGAAAGCTCCGTATTACTCAGCATTCAAGGTGTATACCCAGACCACAACCTTATCCTAGGGGACCCAGCCCTAGGACAGGGGATGGCTGAGCTCTGAAATTTGAGTTATTTCCCAGTGTGCCTAACAGTCATTAGAAGGGCAACAGCTCTGGGACCTTATTCAGCTATTTACTGAAATATTTGTTTTTCCCCATTGTCTATTTATTTGTTATTTATTCCTATTATTTTTTTAGATGAAGTCTCATTCTGCTGCCCAGGCTGGAGTGCAGTGGTGCGATCTCGGCTCACTGCAACCTTCGCCTCCTGGGTTCACCCAATTCTCCTCCCTCAGCCTCCACGCCCACCTGCACACCACCATGCCCAGCTAATTTTTGTCTTTTTAGTAGAGATGGGGTTTCACCATATTGGTCAGGCTGGTCTCGAACTCCTGACCTCAGGTGATACAGCCGCCTTGTCCTCCCAAAGGGCTGGAATTATAGGCATAAGCCACCATACCTGGCCACAACGTAACGATTTTTAAGTGTACAGTTCAATGTCATTAAGTACATTCACATTCTTGTGCAAAGCTCACCACTATCCATTTCCAGAGCTTTTTCATCTTCCCAAACGGAAACTTTCTACCCACTAAACAACTCCCCATCCCACTTTCCTGGCAGCCCCTGGGAACCACTATTCTACTTCCTGTCTCTAGTAATTTGACTACCTCAGGTACCTCATATAAATATAATCACACTTTTGTGACAGGCATGTTTTACTTCATAACATCCTCAATGTTTACTCATGTTGCAGCACGTCTCAGAATCTCATCTCTTTTTAAAGTTGTATAATATTCTATTACATGGATACATCACATTTCATTATCAATTAATCCATTGTGGGACACTGGAGTTGCTTTCATCTTTTGACTACTGTGGATAACACTGCTTTCAGCATCACTGTACAAGTATCTATTTGAGATCCTACTTTCGATTCTTTTGAGTATATACCCAGAAGTGGAATTGCTGGATCATATGGTAATTCTATGTTTAACTTTCTAAGGAATGGCCTTTTTACAGCAAGAAAGGATTCTGGGGCCTGGGCGGGTGGTGAGGAAGAGGGATGGTAGTTCTGAGAATAGAGATTACTGCGACATTCGTGAGAACCTCAAGGTTGGTAGGCTGGAGGGATCTAAAAGGTAATCTGGCATAGCTGCCCTCTGACACCTACAGCCCCACTTCTGTGTAACTTTCCTTCAGGGGTGAAATGTTCTGCGGTCTCCCTGCGCTGCGTTTACCTCTTGTGGCCACAGAGATAACGTGAATCTGTCTGCTTTGGCATAGCCCTCAGGCCTTGGAAGACAGCTTTCTTGTATCCGTCTTTTGTCTTCTAGAGAAAGCTTTGTGCTTTAAATTGTGTGTGTGTGTGTGTGTGTGTGTGTGTGTGTGTGTGTGTGTGTGTNTGTGTGTGTGTGTGTGTGTGTGTGTGTGTGTGTGTAGAAACAAGGTCTTCCTATGTTGCCCAGGCTAGTCTCAAACTCTTGACCTCCAGCAATTCTCCTGCTCCAGCCTCCCAAAGTGCTGGGACTACAGGTGGGAGCCACCGTGCCCGG